ATACAAGGAGATATCATCGCATAAAGATGCTGCCGCAGTATAGAGATAAAGACCTAATGACGGACTTGTTTTGTTCCAGAAAAAAAACACAGATGGTTATTAACATATTAGTATACTACTACTACTACTACTACTACTACTACTACTGCTACTACTACTACTACTACCACTACTACTACTACTACTACTACCACTACTACTACTACTACTACTACACTACTACTACTACTACTAATACAATAGGCCTCATGTACGTAGCCAGGATTTTGAAAGGGGGCAGCCGTTATGCGAGGTACGTAGGTCTCCGGTGGGGACGAATCCCCCTGAAGTAGCGCACTCAGAAAGTTTTTAGGACTGTTTTGAGAGGATAAAGTGAAAATTGCAATAAACGCACCATAAATAATATTAGTAAGCCTAACAATAGTTATATAATAAATCAACAGTGTCGGATCCAAAAAATTCAAAAGAGAGGTGACCCAGGGAGGGACTTTCACAGACTGAGGAACCACCCACCTCAGCCCCACCATGGTTGGGGCAGATGTAAGAAAATTTATGATTAGGGCACCTCTAGATGGCCGAAATTACACTCTGAGACTTAAATTTGCATATATTTTTCTTTTTTTCTTTTCATTAAAAAAAAGGGGGGAGGGGGTCCTTGAATCCGCCACTGCTCAAAACATTCTTTATCCAAAAAAACATAATCACAAAAAATGGGCATAAAAACCCAGATCACATCCTAAACAAATTGATGCACCATCGCCTCAGCAGTCACTAAGGGTGCCGACTCGATGGAGCTTAATGTCATACCCAGGGAAGGGCGCAGATCTGTTTTGAAAGGTGAGGGAGGGGAGGACAATTTGTGAGTCGATATCCACCTCAGACCCACCATGGTTGGGGCTGAGGTGCGAAAATTTGTGAGATACTTCCTCGAAATGGCCAGCAATGACACTTTTAGTTAAATTCATCATCATCACATCACCATTTGTCAAAATGAAGCGCCAACAAAAAAAAATCTCATGATCTTTTATCAGGGATTTTTGGCAACCATCTTATGTGTGATATACCATAGAAACAAAGCTTAAAACATTGTCTTTGACTACTGTATGTACTTTATATACTTCAAAACTGTGATTTCACAACCACCTCAGCCCCACCATGGTTGGGGCTGAGGCGAGAAAATTTACGGAAGTAGTACCCCTAGATGGCCGGAAATGACACTTTTATATAGAAAATTCATCATCATCAAACCACCATTATATAGTCAAAATGAAGCACCAACAAATTTCTCATGATCTTTTATCAGTATCTAATTAATATCCAGGACAACTTAGGCCCAGGGAAAATTTTGTATTGGCTCAAGAACAAGCTTTAACATTTTTACAGTGTACAGAGTTGGGGGGCGGGGGTGGAGCTGCAGCTCCCATGGCTCCCCCACCCCCGGATACATTCCTGATAGGCCTAACTGGGGCTACTAATACTAATAATAGGCCTACAGTTTTGCAGCTACACTACTACTACTACTACTACTACTACTACTACTGCTACTATTACTACTACAGTACTGCAGCTCTACTACCAATAATAAACTGCAGCACTGCAGCTCTACTACCACTAATACAGTACTGAGGCTGTACTGATACTGTACTGCAGCTCTATTCATAATCCAATATTATTATCTTTTGTAAATACATAGTGGTATAATCCATTATTATAAGAAGGATATTTCATTTCGTAATTACATAATTTAATTTATTAAAATTATGATTTCTGTAAAACATCAACATAAGCAGACTGATTTTGATAAATGTCAGGTATAGAAAACAAATTTTCATTGTTAACATGTATTTAAGAAACGGATCTTATGAAGGGGTATTGAAGGAGCCCTAATGTCTAATGTTTTGTCCGGCTCTTAAAGTTTACAAGCTCTCAACCAGGAAAATAATTTCGTACTATCATCCGTTCATCAGTCGAGAACGTAGTCGCCTCAGTTTCTTCAGTTTGATTTTACAAGAATTAACTTTCTTCGAACAGTTATTTGGTAGGTACCGTTGATATTACATAAAAGTTTTTAAATGTAATAATACTGAAACACAATTTATATTAGTATAATTTTGGGTAGAGTTTGTCCGTCATATATTAGGTTATATATTTGTTAAAGTTATTCTTTCGGCTTTGATGATATTTGTTAATATAAATACTAATACTAATAATAATAGGCCAATTACAATAATAATACTACTAATAATAATAATATATTATTATTATTATTATTATTATAAGAATAAGAGGAATAGTAGGAATAAGAATATTAGGAATAATAAAATCAAAATTAATAAGAATACAGTGCCGTACGCTGGATTGTGGAGGTGAAGTGGTGGTGGGGGGGGGGGGGTTCTTTTTCCAGGAAAACGGAAAATTGGCTGGGGGCCGTGCTGCCAAGTGCCCCTGGCGCTCCGTGTTCCAGGCATTATCAACGTTAATTTCAATGTCGTGTAAGAGGGTGTAAGTAGGTGTTTTTAGTGCATAAAAGGGTATTACTTTGAAGATCAGCCCTGCATGTGGCTGGGTTTTCAAACAGGGACGCAGTATCAAGACCAAAAAAAAAAAAAAAAAAAAAAAAAAAAAAAAAAAAAAAAAAAAAAAAAAAAAAAACGCATATAAATAATAGGCCTGTATTTCATGGATAATAATAAATGCACCCAAGTTTAATAATTAAGGCAGTTCTATTCTCAATAATTTGCATTGGCGAGTAATTTCCTTTTAGTTTTAATAACAGTCGGCGTCGGCCTGGCCGAATTCCCTTAGTGGAGGATCGATACGGTAGGCCTATTTTTAGTGAATCTGGCCTGTCAACGTTGCAAATCAAAATGAAACTAATCCACCCCTGCACCATAAGCACTGTTAAGATTGTGGGGTTTTTATTGTTAATATAACACCATTATTTTATTTTTCTTATCCTTAGTAGAGCACCATGAAAATAATATTTGTTGCAGTCATCTGCCTATGTATCCTGGAGATAGCACGCGTGGACGGTTTTTGGAGCCGTCGAAGACGACGTCGCCGCCGCCGCCGATCGTGCTCTGCTGTGAATTGTGAGTGGGGTAGCTGGCAAAGTTGGGGTGCCTGCTCTATAACCTGTGGAAGTGGTGGGACGAAAAGGAGAAGTCGAACCAAGAGTACATCTGCGTCTTGTGGAGGAACGTGTACTGGTTCGTCTCAAGAACAGAGAGTCTGTTCTCCTGGATGTACTCGTGGTACTGCGGTTCAAGGACGTTGCACAAATTGTCCTTTTCCCTACACCGGCAACTGCTGCGAACGTCGCTCATGCTCTGCTGTGAATTGTGCGTGGGGTAGCTGGCAAAGTTGGGGTGCCTGCTCTATAACCTGTGGAAGTGGTGGGACGAAAAGGAGAAGTCGAACCAAGATTAGATCTGCGTCTTGTGGAGGAACGTGTACTGGTTCGTCTCAAGAACAGAGAGTCTGTTCTCCTGGATGTACTCGTGGTACTGCGGTTCAAGGACGTTGCACAAATTGTCCTTTTCCCTACACCGGCAACTGCTGCGAACGTCGCTCATGCTATCCTGTAAATTGTGCGTGGGGTAGCTGGCAAAGTTGGGGTGCCTGCTCTATAACCTGTGGAAGTGGTGGGACGAAAAGGAGAAGTCGAACCAAGATTAGATCTGCGTCTTGTGGAGGAGCGTGTACTGGTTCGTCTCAAGAACAGAGAGTCTGTTCTCCTGGATGTACTCGTGGTACTGCGGTTCAAGGACGTTGCACAAATTGTCCTTTTCCCTACACCGGCAACTGCTGCGAACGTCGCTCATGCTATCCTGTGAATTGTGCGTCACCGGCAACTGCTGCGACCGTCGCTCATGCTATCCTGTAAATTGTGCGTGGGGTAGCTGGCAAAGTTGGGGTGCTTGCTCTATAACCTGTGGAAATGGTGGGACAGAAAGGAGAAGTCGAACCAAGATTCGATCTGCGTCTTGTGGAGGCGCTGCGTGTACTGGTTCGTCTCAAGACCAGAGAGTCTGTTCGCCTGGATGTACTCGTGGTACTGCGGTGCAAGGACGTTGCGCAAATTGTCCTTTCCCATACACCGGCAACTGTTGCGAACGTCGCTCATGCATTCCTGTGAATTGTGCGTGGGGTAACTGGCAAGAATGGGGTGCCTGCTCTATAACCTGTGGAAATGGTGGAACAGAAAGGAGAAGTCGAACCAAGATTAGATCTGCGTCTTGTGGAGGCGCAGCGTGTACTGGTTCGTCTCAGGCACAGAGAGTCTGTTCGCCTGGATGTACTCGTGGAACTGCGGTGCAAGGACGTTGTGTATGTCCCTTCCCATACACCGGCAACTGCTGCGAACAGTTAATTGAAGGTAATTTTATATAGTTTTTAACAGAAATTCCAAACCACAAAAACTGTAGAAATATTACATATTCAAAGGCGGCGGAACATTTTTGAAAGGGTGGGGGAGACTTTTTATGAGGTCCAGTATGCGAAGCGAGCATCTAGGCTGAGGGCAAAGTCCCCTTGAAGCTACTGATATTTTACGAAGTTTGATGATTTTTAGTAGTTATTTTATATGCATCCATATCAAGCTACTGTAATATGATAATTGTTGTAATTTCCAGTAGCGGATCCAGGAATTCGAAATAGAGGGGCCCAGGGAAAGTAGTACTTATAGATGGAGGATACTACGTCAGCCCCACCATGGTTGGGGCTGAGGTAAGAAAATTTGTGATTAGGGCACCTCTAGATGGCCGGAATTTCAGACTTAAATTTCAATATAATTTTCTGTATATCTCCATTTACAAAATATTTGAACAATTTAGCCCCCACACCCCTGAATCTGCCACTGATTTCCGAACAAAGTCGAAGTCGAGATTGCTTCCACAATCTCAATGAATTATTTATCATGAGGGGTATCTTTCATATGGGTATTCCCGACGAAACCGTCACGTTTCCCCAGATGGATAAAAATTACCCTTCTATAGTAACCATTAAATGATACTCCAGCTGTGGCGGGTCTAGGAAATCGAAGTACAGGGTACCAGGGAGGGTCTTCAAATGGAATGCCTGCCCACCTGAGGTAAGAAAACATTATGATTATGGCACCTCTTGATGGCCGGAAATGGCACTCTCAGATTAAAGGTTGAATACAATTTTGTCTGTTTTCTACATTTTTTTTATAATTTTGAAAAAAAAAATAGAAGGTTGGTGCTGATAATGATAAATTAAGTAAATCACCGTTATGTTTGTGAAATCAAAATGCTAACTAATATTTTGTGTGCTCCCTATCTCCCTAGTCCTGTTTGATCGTAAATTAGACGGCATTATTTCCACTCAGAATAGTGTAGTCGCAATAATACTTCCACAAAAGTGAAATTCAAAAAAAGGAGAAAAGCAAAAACCTCTTGATTTATTTTAAAGCATTGTACATGTAAAATGACTATTAAAATTAATGACTGTTTTAAGCTTATCTTATTTGTTTTTCATGGTTAGACTTTTGAATACGTGACAAGCTAATCTGTAAATAATAAATCATTATTTTTATGAATGTTAGTTTGCACATAATATATAAGTGGGCATAATTTTGACTAAGAGGATAATTTCAAAAACTTTTATGATGAGTATTCAGTGGCAGATTGAAGGGGCCCAGCCGGCACACCATCCCTTTTTTTTCGAAATTTAAAAGTGGAAAAAAATGAGAATTATATTCAAATTCAGTCTGAGAGTGCCATTTCCGACCAACTAGAGGTGCCATAATCATAAATTGTCTTACCTCAGACCCAACCATGGTGGGGCTGAGGTGGTCTACTCTCTCCATCTGTAAAAGTCCCTCTCTGTGCCCAGCTCTATTTCAAATCACTGGATCTGCTACTGGATACTTTGAAAATTTCGTATGGAAATAAATGTTAATTGCATTGCTTAAAATCTATTGAAAGGCTATAGGCGCCAGTACTTCTGGGTCCCCAACCAAGGCTTGGGCGTACGGCCAAAGGCTTTATTTTTCATTTCGTCCCCCCCCCACCCCCACTTTCAACCACGGATCGACGCCCGCCTACCTCCTCCCCCATATGCCTAAATACAGAATTCACGAAGGCGGGCGATTCCATTCTTTTTTTCTTCATGCTCAAGGGTGGATTTCAAGGAAACTTTACAGACGCCTTTATACAAACTCAACTCAAAAAGGGTAATGTTCGTTAGAAATAAAATCTATATTTCATAATAATATTAATAGGTTAATTTTTAAGGCGCAAATAAACAAGGTCTCTAAGCACCAAATAATAATAATAATAATAATAATAATAATAATAATAATAATAATAATAATAATAATAATAATAATAATAATAATAATAATAATAATAATAATAATAGTGACATTTTAGCGTTTGTAAAATGTTTGTCACCGGTGCTGGGAACAGACACAAAAGTAGGCAACGGCGTAGAAAAATATTTTTCATTGGGGGGATGATTGGCGTGTTAGCGCCAATGTGTGCGCTTGTGCGGACAGGCGATGTGCCCCCTCTGAAGCTGGAAACCTTGTTTTTGCAAAATAACTTGGTGCAATGTGATGACTACTTTTAGTGAAGTTTTGATCAAAATGAAAAAAAAATTTACCATTAACAATATGGCATATCTGTATCTGTGAGACACTCACAACGATGTGGAGCAAAAAGAGAAGTGGAATAATAAGTAAATATTTTATAGTATTTTATTGACTTTCTTCATTTTTACACTTTTATAATAAATACATTCGCTCATGAACGATAAACCTCTTAGTGCCTATTTTGTTTTGTTATTATTACCACTGGTATTAACATGGTTTTTAAAATATTAAACATAATAAAAATAATGAGTATCTATATGCGCTATTCACATAACTGTGAATTTCTGATGCTTCATGTTCACCAAATCTGCCCGACCTTTTGTTCCCTTGACCAGTGACTTTCTTCCAGTTGTTAAAACCAGTGGAGATGAAGGCATCTTCTTTTTGTGTGCGAGGCTTAACAGACCTTGTTGCTCTGCTGAAGCACATGTATGGCAGATAACACCCTTAAGTTCTTTAGAATAGTGAAGCCACTTATATCTATCAAACCATTTTTGTTGAAAATAAATCTTCTGTGTCTAGCTTGGTTTCATTCGCCGGTATCTCTGATGTCAATGGTTGATGTGGCTCTGATATTTTTTATAGCAGGAGCTTCATTTGTAGCAGAGCATGGTCTTGGTGGTGACAATTGATCATCAGAAGGCATAGGTAAAGTAGTGTCAGGATGATAACGATGGAGCTGTAGTAGCTTCAGGAGTATCATGGCTTTCTCTTGATGGTAAACTTGGATCTAGAGTCAGCCGAGCTTCAGAAGTGGTAGCAGACTGGTTGGGTATTGTCTTTAGATTTAGACCTAGCCCTTTTCCGTGGGGGACTGGACATCTAAAAGAACACATGAGCAAGTGATAACTACTTTCGCATCCAATTAAAGCGAAATATTTCTCATGGTGTAATATGAATGATATGAAAACCTTATTATGATATTTAGGGTTTAGGGTTTGAGACTTCACCTCTTCTCATTTAAGAATATGTTCATATTCAACCATCAGGCCAAGGCCTCAGAGTTTTTCCCAGGGGTTACTGTGGTCCCCTCTCCCGCTAATTAATAATAGGCCTGCCTGCAACTAAGCCCTTGAAAAGTAGTCCCAGCTCAGAATAATTTCAACTGGAAAAACAAATTATCTGTGTAGTAAGTACGTCTTACCATTTTCCACGTACTGTAGTACAAAGTTAACCCTACAGCTGAGCGTGCCCACAGAAACATGCAACACTGGAATGCTGGATAACAAAATACAAATAAAATGTATGATAATCTTAAATTAAAGTTAAAAAAAAGTTTTACTTACCCTGGCACTGGTGTTGCAATTTTACCACGAAAATTCAAACTGTCGTTGCCCAATCCGGATGTGTCACTCCGATTCTGGTCTGGTCTGGTTTGGCCTGGTCTGGTCAGGTTTTTGCGCTTAGAGACTCTTGTATTTTGCGCAATATAAATCTATAACCTTTACCCTTTTTCTTACATTTACAGAACAATTTTAGCATACCTAAAAGGTTTCTCCTTTCTATTATAATCAATAAATTCCTCATCAACCGATATAACCATAAAAATTCTTGGAATTGACATAAAATTACTGATGTACACACCCTTCAGGTGAAAATGTGGCTTGCTTTGCAAGCACATCTAGGCCTAACATCTAAGGAAAGAAGAGCTTAGATTGGTACCAGATAAAATAATTTTGTTATCAACATTAATACATTATGCTAATTTTCATCTTTGTAAGCGCATAAGACATTGCAAATTATTTTTGTGACAGTCTTTTGAAGTGTGTAAAGCTCCATTTTATCCCATACATAGTCAAAATATTGGAGGGGGGGGGGTGATACAATGGACCATCCCCCCTTGTCATATATTGGAGGATATATCCCCATCAGATTGGGATCTACGCCTATGAAAGTGGGGGGGCAGGTACCCAGTAGAAAAAGGTCAGGGGGGCCAATGGACCCCTCCTGCCCCCTCCCCCGCTTCCACCGCCGTTGCCATTGCAGGATGTAAGCTTCAGCATGTGTTCTCCTGTTAAAGGCCAGCTCCGGGCATACATTTTCTCTTCACTATGTGTTCAAATACATTATTATAAGATATCATGTGAGTAATCTCGACAAAAAAAAAATGCCAATTTGACTGAAAACGAGAATATAAAAATCCGCTTAGAAGCACTGAGTCTAGGTCTCAGAACACTCCAGGCGTGATGAGAAAACAAATTAAAACACACCAACTGTCAACCAACGACACCGCGAGAACGTGACATCGCGCTGCTGTGGACTTCACCACACTAACCTGTAAAACGGCGCGTCGGTCAAGATGGTGTACAATAAACATAATTGCCATAACAGAATCAATAATACAATTGATAAAACAACAAACAAACAAAAATGACAGAAGAAAGTAGTTTATGGATTAACTTGCATATAAAAACAAAGACCTAGGCTAGCCTAGTATCAAAACCAGCCCAGTTTCTAGGCTAATCGTCACATAGTCCATGGCCGGCGGAACCGGGGGGGGGGGGGCCGGGCCCCCCACTTTTTTTGCAAAAAATAATGTCTGGAGATTTTTGTGTGACCGGAAAAAAAATTCTAGACCTACCTTTTCAGGACCCGTGAGCTGATTATTTTTTTTTTTTATGTTACAATCAGAAAATTAGAATTTTGAAGAACATAAAAGTCATTAAAACACACTTCAGATGTCGGGAAAGCTCATTCCCGCTTTCTACGAATTAAAGTTTTCCCGGGGGAGAACCCCCGGATCACCCTTTCTTTTTGGGATT